TTATAAATTACTATAATGAGGGGTTTACCTTGTGTATGTGTGTGTCATGGGCAGATTGTTCGGAATTTGAGGAGATCCTGAGAACAGAGCCTTCTCTCTCTATCCCACTTCGTCAGTACAAGAATAATCTTGGGCAGATTCAACTACAAGGTGAAGTATACTTTGCTTTCCATCTATTCCAAGTCATGAGTTAAAGAGCAATATTTACATGAATGTTAATAGGTTACATTTCCCACATGGATTTAAAGGAGAAGAACATCTCATCTGATGGGTAGTCAGTTGACAATCATAAGCAATTGTCCTGCTCCTCAGAGTGGACCTGATGGTTCAGGTGTGGATCAGTATAGGTTCAAAGAGTGTCAAGGTGTTAGATTGCTGGGGAATGGCTAAGGCCAACCCCAATGTCAGTGCCATACAAAGGTAAGTGAGGGTGGTGGCCTCAATTTTCTTTCACTTAAAATTCATCTTGGGTAATGGGACAGAGACTCTAGTTGTGAATTGTAGGTTTTCATCCTTGTAATCAATTTTCATCCTCTTTTTCTAAAACATTTAATGTTAAGAAAACCAAGTCACTAATCTTTTCTCTCAAGGAATTAAAATATTCTGAAGTTTATTTGAGGACAACTGTGAACTCCTCAAGACAAGAGATCATGGCTTATATACCTTTGTGTCTCCAATGCCCAGCACCTTGCTAGGTAAGGTGGCAGCTGCCATACTCGTGTGATACTTGCTGAATGCACATAGCAGCTGAACGAAGTCTTTGTGATAACAGCTGCATGCCATTGGCTGGAGTGGTCCAGTGCTCAAAGGATTGTGTTTGTAGGAGGACATTTCAGTATAAGCCAAAGTGGATCAGATGTGGGCCTGTCACATACAACTAGCCCTATGGCCATGACATATCTTGAATTGAGAAACTTCAGCTCTCAGTCACACAATTTCACACCTCCAAGGTAGATTTGTTAGTTCATTACTAGATTCAAATGAAATTACCTACCTCAGTTTTATAATCATGGTAATTTGGCTAACATTGTCGTTTTTAAAATGAAGAAAATGTGCTTTACTGTTTCAGAGAAATTTTTTCTTTCCATTTCCTAATGATAGTAAGGAGTTGATAATAAAATTGTGTGAATGAGTGGAATAAGATTAGAAATTATCTTTGGAATACTTCAAATATCTTTTTGAATAGAAAAATTGTGTTTGACTTACTGCTTTTGTATGGTAAGGCTGACATCTGGGCAACTGTGGCTTTGCTCAATGGGGACTATACCACTGGGTTAAGTCAAGTGATTCCATGCAGAGACCCTCAGCCAATGTCCTGTCAGTGCTGTTTGGTGTCTGGAACTCAGGAGCCTCTTTCAGGGCACATTCTAGAAGAATGACTGACTTACCGGCACTGCGACACTCATGTGTAGGAAGCACAGGATCAGTATCAGGTCCTTCATTTTGAAAAGTGGAATCTAAAACATAATTGGGTTGTAGAATTATGTCAGATGAATTTTTAACTCAGAATGGTTAAAAGACAGTTTTTGAATGACCCAAGTCTTGCTCTTTCAAAAACAACCCCGTTAAGATTAAAACACAAGAACCAAATGTTGCTAAACAATTGATTTGTATTTAGTAGTCTCTGAAATGAATTGACAAACAATTAAAAAATATCTAAACACTTTTTTTTATGGAGCTACAACTTAAATAAACATGTAAGAACCCTCTCCATGCATATTCTTTAAATGTTGTGTTTCTTTTTAGAAAACGAATTATGAATTTAAAAATGTCTTTCACGGAGTGAAATATTGGTCTATAAAGTATCATTCCAGAAGTTTATACTTTGCTTATTCTCTGGGACAAATTTTAAAATGCATTTGGAATATAATACACCTAACAGTCATTTTATAAGAAATTTTTATTTGTAGATATATAGGGTACATCATGCAACCTTTAAGGCTATCTACATAACTATGCCAAAACTTACCTTTTAAAAATAAGAGTAAGTTAAGTATTTTAATTGCCTTTGATATTAGTGGAAAATATGTTTCAAAATTTAGTTTGCCTCTTTCTAAAACGAATTATCTCTTTATTTTATAAATTCAAAAGTCTCTTTATTTTTGCATGGATGGAGATCTGCCTAACCAAGAGATTTGCTTGTCCTCTAATACTTTATAAAATTAGGCCCTATCACTAATATAATCACAAATAGTGAAAAAAGAAGTCTATAGATAAGTCTTTTTTTCCCCCTTAGTTGGATGGGTATTAGGCGTGTCTTTTCTGGAACATGCTAATGGATTACAATAACCTTCTGGTGACAAATGAAGATAAACCGTCTTTATAAAAGCTGTGTGAAGATAGGAAAAAAGAATTCACAGCAAACACATGGAAATCATAAAACCCCATTTTACCTTAGATTCTGACATTCACTGTGCTCTCAGGGCCTGACGATGCCAACCAAGATAGTTCCAGGAAAAGAAGATTAAAATTTTTTTCTGGTGTGTGCGTGGGACTCGCTCTGTACCACTCATTCAGGGAAGAAGAGAAACCTTTATTTAAAGTGTGAATCCACCAATCAAAGTGAAGCGAAATGGGGGGAAAAGTCTCTGCTGCTGCAGTGAGTCCACACCCTTTCGTTGCATGCAAGGACATTGGCCCCGTAGGGTCTTATTATTTTTAATTGTAACTCAGCCCCTGTATTTATTCAGGGAACTTGATTGCAGGGAAGACAGTATGGGAATAATGGACATAGGCTCTTAACACAATCATTTTAGTGAGTTGGGGGAAATATATGTAAGAGACGTGAAAAACAAGCCATTATCTGTTTTGTGCAGGTTTTTATCTGCAGATAAAGCTAGTGACCCAATGCTAGCTTTCTCAAGATGTTCACCCTCATGTTTGTTGTGGTAAAAGTAACTCTCCACCTTCCCCCACCAGCACACACACAGTCTCAATGGAAACACTAAAATATCTTCCTGGGCTGGAAAGGGAAGATAAAAATGTTAGATGGATAATGAATGTGTGGGATTTTTTTTCTTCAGAATTTCCCAGATGTTTTTATATCTGAAGATAATTGATTAGACATAGCCAAGATTTTCTAAGACATTTCCATTGGACCATCTGTAGGAATCACTTTGGGTAAACCTTTGGTGCATAGTTTTGTGGGGAGGGGACGTAAATCAGAACATTCTCCATGAACCAATCAAATCAATGGGCACACTCTTACTTGGCTCTTCAGACAGACCCATTTCCAGGCATTAGAATCAAGCTGGGTTAGTAAGACAGATTTGCATCACCTAAAAGGTTAACACAACATGGATGTGTTTTCTCCATGAACAGATAAGAATGTCTTGAATATGATTGAACATTAGCTACTTTTGTTATTTCTCTGCCCCTCTTTGTCTTTCTAAAGTTGTGATTTCAGGCACGGTAGGGATAAGCATTTAAGATTAGTTTCTGAAGAAAGGATGAGTCAGTACACTCTTTAGGGAAGTAGGGATCTTGCCAATTACAGGGACCATTAGGGAAGCTGGTATTTTCAGAGAAAGATGTCTCCATACGCAAGTGTAGGCCTAACAGTTTGAAATTGCTGTTATGCAAGAAGCTGTCCCTGAAAAATTCTGTTACCCACTGAAAACAGAGTCATCTTTAGGATGCAAAGAAATAAGGAATGTGAATTGTTTTGTAAACAGAAAAATGTTATTGAAATGAAAAGTGCTATATTTGTGTGCTCTCTCTCTCTCTCTCCTAGCTCCGGTGCTTGATCAAATAGCTTAATCTCTTTAGACCCAGTTTCTTCCCTGTAGTATAGGATAATAATTCATTATCACAGGCTTGTCTTGAAGATTTGATGAGATAATGAAGAATCAGCAGCTGCCAAACAGTGAGTGAAACTGCGTGAAACATGAGCCCACAGGCACTGTCTCTCTGTGTGTTTCTTTTAAAGTCTAAAATCGTGAGCATGACATGGTAGTAGTGATATTTTGGTAGGATTCTTATGTTCTTTTTGCTCTTAAGCCAAATATCCAGTATATCACTGGTCCTATTGCTTCTTCCTTTTGTTAAATGTCACATTCAATCCTGGATTATTGTCTTTCAGATATTTATCTGGTGGTTTCTTTCTCCCCTAATAACCTGCACGCCAACACCAAACATATCTTCCTGAAATACTGTTTTTGGCATTTCCCTGCCTCACTCAAATCCTTTTTAAGGATCTCTTAGGATATTATGTAAAGTTCACCCTTTGTGACTAGACAGTCAAATTAACATTTCAATTCCCCTTTCTAATTTTATCTCCCACAGTGAGACACTGTGCATTGATGTATTTATAATGATTGTTGTAATCAGTTGGAGTTGGTTTCATTTTTGCAGCTAGTAAACAGTTTTTGTCTTGGCTTATGGGACATATGTTGCTGGGAAAGTTAATAAATATATTCCTAATGCAGCCTATGAAAAATGTTTTAATAATAAATATGAAAATTATAAGTATGAATGATCTTCTGGTAGTAATTATAGATACTAAGGAAATTACTATATCTGATTGAAACTGTGTTATGTTGATGAAGACTATACTTATATGGCGAACAACCAGAGTGCCAGTCAAAAATAATGAAAAATAGGGCCAGGAATGGTGGCTCACGCCTATAATCCCAACACTTTGGGAGAACAAGGTGGGAGGATTGCTTGAGGCAAGGAATGCAAGACCAGCCTGAGTCACAGAGTGAGACCCCATCTGTACAATAAATAAGAAAAAAGGAAAAAATAGCTGTGCATTATGGTGCTAACCTGTAGTCCCAGCTACTCGGGAGGTTGAGATGGGAGGATCGCTTGAGCCCAGGAGTTCAAGGCTGCGGTGAGCTGTGATTGTGCCACTGTACTCCAGCCAAGCCTAGGCGACAGAGTGAGACCCTATCTTAGGGGGAAAAAAAGAAAAAGAAAAAGAAAAATGCTTATGTCCAGAGTATGGCAAAAACAACAGCAAAAACAAAACTCAAAGTGATAGAAGATCTGAGACACGTGAGGGGACACATGCCATAGAAATAGTTATAAAGGAAAATTTAAACAAAGAAGATCCTGTGGAAGATGTTAGTACAGTGGCTAAGAGCACAGCTATTTAAATTCCCTCTGTAACACCCACTGATCACATAACATTGGGTGAGCCACTCAATATACACATAAAATTTTCATGCAATATTTTATATTTTCTTTTTTAATGTAGTAGTTTCATCTGTGTAATGTGATCTACCATAGGTCAGCATGAATTTAATTTAATTTAAATATAATAATGAATATAATTCATTATTTATGAATGAATATAATTCAGCACATTATCTGGTAGCCAGAAAATATTCAGTGATCATGAGTTAGTATTATTCTTGTTGAAGTAAAAAAAAGTATAATAAAAATCTGCTTCATATTAGACTCGTTTTTTAGCTTTATTAAGGTATAATTGATATACAAGAAATCGCACACATTTAACGTAGACGTCTTGATGAGTTTGGACATGTGCATACATCCATGATACCATTACTACAACCAGGGTACTAAACATATTCAATACTTCCAAAAATATCTTTTCGTTCCTTTGTATTGTTGTTGATTTTTTTGGTCAGTAAGAACAATTAACATAGGGTCTATCCTCTTAACATATTTTCAAGTGCACAATACAATGGCACTATTGTTAACTGTAGACATTATGTTATATAGTGGATCTCTAAAACTTATTCATATTACATAACAGAAATTTTATACCCAATGAAGAACGTTTCCATTTCCCCTTCTCCCCAGCCCCTGGCAACCACCATTCTATTCTTTGCTTCTATGAGTTTGACTATTTTAAAGTTCATGTAAGTGGAATGATATAATATTTGTGCTTCTGTGACTGGCTTATTTCAGTTAGCATAATAATGTCTTCTGTGTTCATCTATGTTAACACAAATGGCAGGACTTTCTTCTTTTTAAGGCTGAATAATATTTCATTGTATGTATATTCCACATTTGCATTTTCCATTTGTCTGTCACAGACATGTGGGTTGTTTCCAGATCTTGGCTGTTATCAATAATGCAGCAATGAACATGTGAGTTTGGGCTAGACTCTTTTCTCACCTCTATACAACTTATTTATCAAAGTTCTACTCAAATTTTACCTCTTCCATGACTCCTTCCCTCATGATTCCACTCCACTGTGGTTTTTCCCTTCTCTGAATCCCAAATGTTTGCATCATTCTTTTGACAATCATGCATACACTACATTGTGACAGCTTGCTTAGTATATTTAACATTTACCTTGCCTGTGGTCTTCTAACATTTTGGAGATGCTTTTCATGTCTTTTCAATGTTATAAAACATTCATGTGGGACAGAAATCACCCATTCCACTAACTTGCATCCTTTGGTGTTCTACACATATCATAATAGCTAATATTGGATGATATTTACTCTGGGAAGACATTAGTTTGGGTGATTTACTTATATTAATTTATATAATCCTCACCAGAACTTTTGAAAAGATACTATTCTCCCGCTTTTTGTAAATGATAAAACTTAACTGTAGAGAAATGAGGTAAATTGCCCAAAGTGATACAATCAGTAAGTGGTAGAACCAGAATTTAGACTCAGACATCCAGCTGCAGAGTCCTTGCTGTTATGTACTAATACTAGTCACAATGAATCAGTCACCTGTGGCCGATGACATGGACCAATCAATCAGGGGCAGATGCAAAGGAGCATAACACACCTCTCTGCAGGGAATTTATCAGATATTTACACACAGGATAGAGGTACAAGAAAATAGTTATTGAAGCATACAATAAATCAATAATAATTAAAAAGCACATATAGGCCAGGTACAATGGCTCACGTCTATAATCCCAGCACTTTAGGAGGTCAAGGCAGAAGCCAGGAGCTCGAGATAAGCCTGCGTAACATAGTGAGACTCTGTCTCTACAAAAAATAGTGATAATTTTGCTGCCACATAAATCATCTATTTTGTGCATCTTAACTAAGGCACAAGCAAGACCTCCCAGGTAACATTGACTCTAAGTAAACTGGTGCTTCCCATGTAAATACAGCTTCAAGACAAGTCCCCTAGCCTCTCTTCCAGACAGAAAACACCCCAAGCCCTTTTGCTTTAGACAGGGGTCTCACTCTTACTCTGGCTTGTCCCAAACTCCTGGCCTTAAGCGATTCCTCAACCTTGGCTATCAGAAGTGCTAGGATTTATAGGTGTGGGCCACCATGCCTGGCCCTGTGATTTTTAGTATTTATAAAAAAATAGATAATGAATATATGTGAAGTCCATTGATACATTATTGCCGTATAATACTGCAGCCTGGGAGTCAAATTTGAATTATTTTTGCCTGCTAAGAGGATGGTCAAAGTTATTTTGAAAACTGAAGACAATATTGGAAGATACTGCTTTTTATTGG